ATAAACTTTAATTGATCTAGACTTTCTAGTTAATCTAACAGAAAATAAAAATAAATATCACTTGAAAAAGATTTATTATTTTTTTTTTCTTCAATTCAGCCACAAATTAACTTTCTATCTATATTTCCCAAAAATTACTTGCAAGGTTATTATCCTTTGTTCATTATTTTTTTGTCTCTAAATTTCACTATTTATTATTATCATACTAGTTTATAGAGAAATTTTTGCTTTTCCACTGGATCGCTTGGTGCTTTCTGCTTTATAGTTTGACTCCTTGGGTGCCTAGGTTAAAGCGAAAAAGGATCATAGCTCAATATTAAATATTATATAGCTAGCTCTTTTTGTTTTTCTTTTGCATATTTTTTTTTTTCTTTGTTTCCTCTATTATGAAATAATAGTTCTCTTTTTGCTAGTATTTTTGTTTAAACAAAAATGTAATACTAAACTTTTGATATATTTTAGTTAAAAAAAATGTCTCTTGAAAAATTTGGGTTTAAGCCTATTCAGTCCTCTGCCTCTTCCTCCTCAACTTCCACCAACAATCCTACTACTACTTGTTAAGATTTGTTAATCCATATTGGCTTCTTACAAGATACTGTAGCCACCATTCAAAGTTCATTAGTCCATTTAGAAAAGAAAACAGATGAGTTTGCAAGTGGTTCAAGCTGTTCTGGGTGTGCTCGTTTGCGTACCAAATTGAACAATATATATACTGAGCTTAAGAAAAGAAAGTTCCAAAAAGACATACTCCAGAAGATTAAAGATCTTGAAAAGCGTATTTGGGAATTGAAGATAGAAAATCTTCGACTCAAGTTTATGAATAACACAAATGATAAAAATAAGAATAAGAATAAGAAGGGGGATAATAATAATAATAATAATGAAGAAAATTAAAAAAAAAAAAAATAAGAGTTGTTGTTTTTTTTTTGTTTTTTTTTGTTTTGTGTTTTTGTTTTGTTTTTTTTGTCAATAAATTTTTGGTAAAGTTTTAATAAAAAGAAAAATAAAAAAAAAGAAAATAAAATATTATTTTCAACTAATAACTATAGTAGGTTCCTATAGTAGTCGATCAAAGTATAATTTTAAACGATTGGCATTAATTGCTCTTTTTAGAATTTTGTCATCCATAGAACGAAGTTTGTAGACTCCTGGGGCAATAACATCATGAATATAATAAGGACCTTTCCATTTTTCTCAAAATTTATTACTATGAACTTTAGCTTGAGCAGATTGATATAATAATACTTTATCTCCAATATGAAATGAAATTTCCTTAACATGTTCATCATGTTTTTTCCTTTTGTTTTTGTTGAGCTATTTCAATATTTTGTTGAGCTTTTAACTGGACTTGCTGTAATTTATTCATTATAAGATCAATATGAACTTGAAGTTGCTGTTCATAAGGTGGCTCCTCAGTATTATTTGTAGAATTTAATACTAAATCTAATAGTGTAATAGCTTTTCATCTATAAAGCAATTCAAAAGGTTTATATTTGGTAGTGGATTGAGAAATAGTTCAGTAGGCAAATAGAGCAGCAGGAATAAAAGTATCCCATAAATCCTTATAGTTACTAACATACTTTGCTAACATAGTACACAAAGTTTTATTAAACCTTTTAGTTAATCCATTAGTTTGAGGATAATAGGCAGAAGCAAGTCAATGTTTAATTGTTATTAGTTGACAAATAGCATCAACTAGAGTATTACAAAAAGAAGAACCTTGATCAGACAATAACTCTTGAGGACATCCATGACAAGTAATAATTTCATCATAAATAAACTTGGCAATAGTAGTAGCTTTTATATCAGGTATAGCTTTAGCTTTAGGCCATTTTGTTAGATATTCAGTAGCTACTACAATATATCGATTTCTATTAGAGATGATTTTTAAAGGTCCAACAATATTAATTCCTACTCAGTGAAATGGTGCTGATACTGGTAGAGGATGTAAGAGTTGATTTTGTTTTGTTTCTCCTTGTTGTTGACAAGTATCACAAGTTTGAATATAGCTTGTAATACTTTTATACATTTTAGGCCAATAGTATTTGTTTTTAGCATGATTATAAGTTCCATTAATGCCAAAGTATCCAGCAAGAAGATCAGAATGTAATTCATGTAAAACAGTAAGCAGTTTGGATTCCTGAACTACATACAGTAATTTTTGTAAAGATCCTTTTGGTTTCCTGTATAGTTGGTTGTTTTCAACAATATAATGTGTTGCTTGTTTTTTAAATTGTTGTTGTTCTTTAAAGTCAAATTTGGGGGTAATTCTGAAGTTGTTAAATATTTCACAAAGTTAAAATAGAGAGTGGATTCTATTTTGGTTAGAGTGTTTGATGTTTTTCTTAGGGTGGCTTTCTAGAAAGACGAGAAAGTGCATCCACATTTGAGTGGACTCGTCCTTTGCGATGTATAACTGTGTAAGGATAATCAGTTATCCGTTGTATCCATCGTGTAACTCTTTTGGCAGGATTAGGCTGATTTAATAACCAACGAAATGCTGAATGATCAGTAATAAGGTCAAAAGGTTTCATATAAATATAAGGTTGAAAATATTCCATTCCCCAAACTGCAGCAAGACATTCAATTTCAGTTGGAGAATAATTAATTTCAGCAGCATTCAGAGATCTACTAGCATATGCTATTACATGTTCATTATTATCATCATTCTTTTGAGCAAGAATAGCACCCAAGCCTTGATATGAAGCATCAGTAAAAAGTATAAATGGTTTTTCAAAATCGGGATATTGTAGAATAGGAGCAGTTGTTAATTTTTTCTTCAAAATATCCATGGCTTGTTGACAGGTTTCATTCCAAACAAAAGGAATATTTTTTTTTAACAATGTGTTTAAAGGGTAAACAATTTGTGAAAAATTAAGAATAAACCTTCGATAATAAGAAGCTAAACCAATAAATCCTCGAAGTTCAGTAAGATTACTAGATGTAGAATAATTTTGAACCTTATCAATTTTAGAAAGATCAGAAGCAATACCATTTTTACTAATAATATGTTCAAGAAAAGCTAGCTGCTATTTTCCAAAACAATATTTATCTTTTCCTAATTTTAACTCAGCATTTTGTAGTCGTTTAAAAACTTCCTTTAAATGTTCTAAATATTTCTTAAAAGTTTTTGAATAAATAGTAATATCATCAAGATATACTAAAATAAATTTATTTTTAAGATCAGAAAAGATTTTATCCATTACTCATTGAAAAGTAGCAGGTGCATTAGTTAAGCCAAAAAGCATAAGATTGAATTCAAACAGCCCATATTTAGTAATAAAAGCAGTTTTTTTACGGTCCTCTGGCTTCATTTTCACTTGCCAATATCCACTAGCCAAGTCAAGAGTAGAGAACCATTTGGCATCTTTAAGAGTATCCAAAATTTCATCAATCTGTAGCAAAGGATAAACATCATGTTTGGTAATTTTATTAAGCTTCCTGTAATCAATACAGAGCCTTAGTTTACCATTTTTCTTTTTAACCAAAACAACAGGAGAAGACCATGGACTAAAAGAAAGAGATATAAGTCCATTTTCCAACATAGAATTAAGTTCCTGTTAAATAAATTCATATTCAGCTGGAGACATACGATAGGCTTTTTGGTGAATGGGTGGTGTGTTTTCAGTAATAATTTGGTGTTGATTCACAGTAGTTTTTCCTAAATCATTCATTCCTTTAGAAAACATATAGTCATTATCCACTAAAAATTGCTATAGTTGTGGATTATCTACTGAAGGAGAAAAATTAGTTTCTTCCAAGTCTTCCTTGTTTACAAAACAACTTATTGTTTCCCCTACTTGTATACATTCAGAATAACTTTTTTGTAACTGATCACAATAACATTTTCCCTTTTGGTGATTATTTGTTATTATTTGTGAATAAAAATTGTAACTATTAAAAGATTTGTTTTTATATTTTATTTGGGTATTGTTAATTTTAAGTATAGGTTTTCTATTAGAATTTCCTATAACTAAAAATCCTTTAGATTCCTCTTGCTTATCATCAGATGATTCATATTCATCTTCACTAATTTCATCAGAATTAGTTTCAGAAGCTGAAATTTGATTATTTAAGTCATTAGACTTATTAGAATTATTTAGAGAAATAGGCTCACTATTATTATATTGTGGCTTTTCCCAACAGGTAATAGGTAAATTATAAGATTTGTTTTTCCAAATAAATTTAAATTGTCCATATTTTAAATCAATTATACCTTAAACTTTACTAAGCAAATTCACACCAGCAATTATAGTATAACCTTGAGCATCATTTACTTCTACATCAATAGGAATAATAGTATCAGATATTTGAAGGGGTATATTATTAATAATCCCTAATAATCGTTTTTTTCCACCATTAATATCGGAAAAATATATTTTAGAGTATTTTTCAATAGATCTATTAAGTTTGTCAGCAAAAGCTTTTGACATTACACTTGTAAGTGATCTAGTATCCAAAATTAAATAGAAAGAGGTATTATCAGCATTGCAATAAACTATATCCATAGCTTTCTTCAGTTTGGGATTTATCTCAGTAGAAATTAGTGAGGATGTTAATTTCAACTGACTTTGATTTACATTATTATTGTAAGAATTGTTCTTTAAAATATGTGTTTGTTTATTAGATATATTGTGAGAATTGTCCTTTAAAATATGTGTTTGTTTATTGGATATATTAAAAGTATTTAATAAATTGTTAGAATTATTTAAAGTAGAAGATAATATATGAGAAGAAGAATTACAGACACTACTGCCCTCACAGCATGCCTTTAGGAGTTTAAAAACCATGCTGATGTTTGAATAAGACCTTGCAAATTCTCAGCAAAAAGGTAAGACTAGTATTAGAATTATTTAGAGTAGAAGAATTTTGTTGTTGTTGTTAAAAATTATTCCTTTGCTGTTGATTATAATTATTATTATTATGATTGTTATTATTGGTTTGATTATTATTCCAATTATTTCCTCTATTTCGATTATTATTATTACTACCTTGATTATTATTATTATTATTATTCCTTTGATAACAATCATGAGCAATATGACTCTTTTTGTCACAAATTTGACAAACAACTTTATTTTGTTGTGGAAAGTTATTATTTTTATTACCTCAATTATTATTGTTTTGAGAGAAGTTGGGTTTAGGTTGAGATAGTTGTTGTTTGAAATAGTTTAAAATAGCCTGAGTAGCTTGTGAAACTTCATTATTAGCTTGGCTATTTATAGGAGTATTGTTAATAGCATTATATGAAGAGCCAGAATAATAATTAAAATATCCTCTATTTAAAGAATATGCTCCAAGAGGCATTCCTCGAGAAAAAGTAGCTTCCGCAGTTTTAGCACGAATTAAGGCCTGTGCCAAAGTAGTAGGACAAGAAATTTCAACTAGCTCCTGAATTTCATTCCTTAACCCATCAATAAATTGTCGTAATTTATCCTCTATAGGGTATTGATTATTAGGATCAACCTTTCGATATAAATGCTCTAATTCAGCATAATAATTTTCAACAGTTTCACCTGGTTGTTGGATTCATGACCTTAGATCAGCTAGCCATCAGGTTTTTTGATGAGGAGTACAAAATTAATGTTTGAACAGATAAGTAAATGAGTTGGCTGGCCTTGCGTCATTATTCCAAAACTCATAGGAGGACATTCGTCTGATTGGCTGATGTAAATCAATTGACTGGAAACTTATTTATACACTTTAAAGTACTTTTTGGAAATGCAATGTTTCACTACAGCACTAATAAAAAATCACTGCAAAAGCTATTTTTTGCTTCGTAAGAACGTTTATATTCACTATGCAAAAATAATCAAAAATAATCAGTAACTACAAGAACTTCACTTAGAAG